ATTGAAAGAAAGCAATTATTTGTGCTTCTCTAAAAGAAAACTTCTTACAGCAATCCCTGCTTAGGAGAACTTTTTGTTCCAAAGAATAACACTAAAAGGCAATCATTAATTTTCATATTAAATCAAACAAATTACTTTGTTCTAGGTGTAGCTGTGATTTACCTCTCTCAGTGGATGAACTGGGAGTGCTTGGGACACGGTGCTTAAGTTCCCATCAGGATAGCTTTTGGGTTAAATCTATCAACTGATCTGTAAGTTCTCTAGAACCACTCAAAGCATAAATGTGGAAATGTTGAGGAAGATGCAGTGCATTTTCCTCATAAAGCTAAAGTGGAAACAACTTTCAGAAGAAAATTGAACCTTTCAGTACAGGGCCACAACTAGCATCAGTATAACTAGGGAAGGGAATTCCTGACCCACTGAGAGAGCACCAGTCCTGTTACAAGGACAGGGACATTCCCACATGTGGAGCAGTTTCAGCCAGGTTTGCCCTGTTTTCATTCACTGCCCTTCTGGTGCTTACCTCGCAGTTTCCAGCAGTGCTTCGAAACCAAATAATTTATGAAACATTCCAAAAGACCTTCAGAAGTTTCACGGAGACTGGGGAGAAGAGTTTTAGTTCCCGACATCCCCATGGAGGTTTCCAAAAGCATCTGAAGGCATTTATCATTGTTTCAGAAATGCAAGGACGGTTTCTGTAAGGCAGGCTTGAGAACACCATCTGCGGGGGCTGAAGAGAGGTGCTGAGGAGCACCCTGTCACTGAAAGCACCAAGTACCATTGTGACTGCTGTGACACGAACCCCCTTGGAGGCCACTACAGCACTGCATGGTTTTCATAACCTGGAGTGCTGCTTTTATGTCTGGACCACGACCCCACGCTGGTGGGACTGAGATATAGACCATATTACCAGCAGACATGACAGAATTACAGTGCCTCCCCAAGAAACAGATACCTACAAGCCACCAGGATAAAAGCCCAGACACCAAAAAAACATTGCAAGACGAACAGAAAGTATGGTGAAATGAGGAAACCAGCAGGACACAAGACAGATGTAAAACTGTGGTGGGAAACATGCTACCTGTGACAGAGTTAGCAAACTGGATTTCCAAACATCACTGCAACCGCCAGCAGAAGCAGTTGGGTGTTCACCTCCTTCTCCCTTCCCCCTGCAGCAGCCTGGGCTCTAACAGCAGGCAGGCTCCTGCTCGGACACAGCCCACGCAGAGAGGCTGCAGGGTTTTAAAAGCTGTGATCTCTACACGAGGTGACTGAGAGGGGAATTCCTGGCAGTAACACTAGGATTGACCACAACAACTGAGAGCAACCGTGTCTCCAGGGGCACTTCTGTGCAACACACCCAGCACCAGGTGAGTGGCTCACACATTGCAGAGAACTGTCAGCTCACAGCCAGAGATGCCAGCAGTTACCACACCAGTGCTGTTAGCAGACCACACCTTGTGCATTCCCCACTAGCCTCTATCTGAAAAGTCATCATGGGACCAAGAAAGACAACTTTTAAAAACACTACCTTTAGCTTATTATTTTAATAAATAAGAAATTCAGTGTATTGACTTCAAAAGAACTTAGGGAAGAGTGTCCTATTCACCTTTGATGAAACTTTAGAGCTCCAGTGTTTGATAGGTCCAGGGTTACACTTTCATTGCTTCTGCAGCCTCACCTCCACCCCGCTCGGAACATGCTTCCATCCATTTGGAAAGAGAGTAAGACAGGCAACAGCTTTAGGATCGCTGCTATCAGTAAAGGAAGTTAAGCTCAATAGTGAATCCACAAACTCTTCTCCAGAAGTTTCTTTATTAAATACAAATAGGGCTGCAGGCTGACCACAACACCAAAAAAAGTCACTGTATTTGTTTTACAACCAGCTAGAGACTTGGGCCCGTGAAATGCCTCTGCTTTGTGTTGTTCTCCTCTCCATAAACGAGCGGGATGCCGAGTGAGCGCTGTGGAGGTGGGGGCAGCCCTGTAGGACTGTGCAACAGGGGCAGTTAGGTCTGCTAGGATCTGGTGGTTTATCAGCTTGGAATTTTTTTTTTCCTGACCCCTTCCCTTCTGGAACTGTATAAATGCAGGATAACTCTCCCGTGTTCCAGAAAGTAACAGGCAAACAACCCCCAGCCCAAAATCCACAAAACAAAATAAAAGGAAACTGCACCATTCCCCTGTCTTCCTTCCTAAACAGAAAGGTCTCCAAGAGACGAGCCACTTTATTCCCTCCTTGTACACGACTTTAAAGTCCCTGTTCATGTAGGTCTTCTCTGTGTTCCTTTCCTGGACCTGAAATCTGCAAGTCTTTCCACCACTGTGGATCTAGTCCACCTGCCCCATCGCTATTCTGGGTTGTCCACACTGCAGTAGTGGTTACTGAAATGAAAAACAACACAATTGAAAGAGTTAACAATGGCAGCCCACAGAGCCCTGGAAGAACCAAGGATTTTGATGCAAGTAGTATTTCCACTCCTTGCGAATGCTATTTCTTGCAAGATACTTTCTCTTCAAGCTGGGAATATTACAGACAGCAGAATTCAAGGAATGCTGAAGAGCACATTTTGTGCGCGTGTCAAAGGGCCCAGGGGGAAGGAAATAGAGGATTAATGGGATATTGGGACCAAGACAGAGAGAGCTAGGAAGTGGGAATTAATTTGATTAACAAAAGCTATTCTCAAGAGTCCTAAAATAAGCATCACTTGCAAAGGGCACAAGCAATGGGAAGAACGGCAGCTCACAGGACAGGAGGGAAGGACACAGAAGCGCACACCAGCGCCGGCAGCGCGGTTTCGGCAAGCACCAGGACAGCCCCTAACTGCTGGAGTGACAGTGCAGCAACGGGTGGGCTTAGCTGCAAGATCAGATGAATGGCTTAGAGATTTTATATTTCTATACTTTACAGACTCTGGGCAAAAATAAAGACCAAATTGAACCAATTAAGATGTCTCCACAGGAACAACAGCAGCGTGTTGTATTTTCCAGTTCAATGTGAACAGGTAACAGTGAGTACATTCCAGTGTTACAGTTTTAGTCGTTACCACTTTGTCAGGACTACGTGTTTTTCATGCACCATGTGACAAAACAAAATTAAATTGTGAAGAGTGAACTACATGCTGCAGTCCTGCCAAAGGGGAAATTACTACCATTAAAACTGGGGAGGGAACGGCCACCATGCACAATGAGACTTTTGTGATAACAGTAATTTTTATCATTGTTTCTGCATTATTTTGAATTTCCTTACACATCGGCTTCAACTTAACACTGTTTTGACTTGTAACCACACAACTTCCCAGCTGGTCACTCTGTGTGCCAGATGAGGTGGTTCTGTGCTAAGTGAGGACAGCAAGCCATGTTGTTGTGAGAGCAAGGACAAATGAGGCCATGCCAAGCCTGGAAAGTAACCCTGGAAAGAGGTGGCACCAAGCAAGCCAGGGAGAGGAGACCTGCGGCTGTTGCTTGCCCTAGTCAGTCCAAGAAAGAAGATAACACGGAGTTGCCATGCAAAGAAGAAGTAGGCACCGTCCTCCCACGAGTCTGTCCAGTTAGCTATTCCCAGTAATATTTATACAAATCCAGAAAGCACTTCCCCAGCCCCGCAGCCTGTCAGACCAGACCCCAGCTGCAGACAACTGTGTAAAGAGCTGCATACCTGCCGTCCCTTTTATTCCTCTCCTCCCAACCACTCCAGCCCCTGTGAAGAAGTCTCAGTAATGTGTCTGCTATGTCTCAGCCTGACTCCTCCTCCTGCTGGCTCACCCAGTTCTTGGAGCTGATGCTCTCTCCGATTATCCTCCTCAGTGCACTGCATGGCATTTCTGGGCCCTCCAGATACACAGCAGGCTAGGCAGACAAAGAAGTCCCAATGATTTGGTGGTGTTCATCATAAGACAGACAGGATTTTCCATCCCAAGGTGGAGACATCACCATTGACAAGTTTCTTGTATCTTTCGGTCACTTTATTTTCTTGTGGTCCTACTTGCTGCTCCTGATGGCTCCTGTTGAAGAGTTGCTCCGTAGCAATGTACTGCATGTAAAGGAGGTGAACAGGTCCCAGAATTCCTTTCTGTGACACATCAGATACCATAACCTCAGCCTCACGCCCGCTGCTGGCGTTTGTCAGACAGCTTCCCCAAGACCAAAGCGGAGACACAATCGCTTGTATTGTAGATTAAAACAGCAACGTTCACTGTACAACCGAGCCCTGTTCGTGCAGTGTTGTACCTCACAGTACCGGTTTCTGAAGAACATAACCCTTACGCAGTGCAGTGCAGGATACAGCCCACCTAAACACCACAGGCACTCTGCTCGTACCACGAGAGCTGCCAGACCCCCGGGCTCCCACACGGGCGGCTGCGCCTGCCTCACGCCAGTGGGGTGGGAAGGGCCGTGCCGGCGCCGGGGCACTCGCAGGGGCAGAGGTGTGTAGCCACAAGATGAGTTACTGGCATCATGGTATAAAATACAGGACATAGCAGATTTCTCTAAAGAGGAAAATTCCAAAGTCATTAATGTACTGTCAGGCAAATCAAAGCTATAGTCTGCCCACTGTTGAACTAAGTCCCCAGAAGCAGGAACTGGAGAGCACAAGTCAGTGCAGATGCCAAAAGCCACACTGGCCACCAAGGAAAGCTTTGTCAGCTCTCCCATGCCCAGCTCTAGCAGCCCACAGGGCTTTCAAGTCCCAGTCCACTCCCCGAGTGTGCCAAGCGTTGGGCTGTATCAAAGTGCATTTTTCCCTGGCGTAGGGAACAGCAAGCACAGATTCCCGTTGCCAGACCCATACAGAAAGGCAGCACAAAGAAACACGGAGACATGCAAGCCAGCAGCATCAGGGAAGTGAGGCAGCATTAGGGCTGCAGCCCTCAGTGCTCTGTCCCATCCTCCTGACAGCTATGACAGCTTAGCAACACCAGGGCCCTCTCCTCAGCCTTGCTTTCACATGTCTACAGAAGTGGAAATTTGCTTTCCTCATTCCAGCCTGAATTCCAGCCACAAAGCTGGGTATGAACAAGGGCATAGCTTCAGTCCCCCCAGCTTCCCTCTGCTGAAATCAGTCAAACAAAAGCAATGTATGCGCAGTCTCCCCCTGGCAGCCAACATCCACACGTGTCTCCCAGCTCCGCTCTCCTCCTGTCGCAGCCTGCCCACAAGAAGTGCTGATGTACAGTGCTTTCAGCCCTCTCACTATCAGACAAATGCCAGGGTCTTGACAATGCTGGAGAAACAGAGATGTGTCCTGTCAGCTCAGCTCAAGAACGATCTGACAGGTAGCATTTATCTGGCTGGTAAATGGCTCAGTCACTGCTCACTCCCTGCAAGGACAAAGCGAATGGCTTTATTTACGTTATCTGGTTGGGGATGAGGTATGGTGAGCTGAAGTAACGTGTCCAAGGTCAGTCAGTTAAGTCTGTGGCAGGGCACAGATTGGAAACAAGGACTACTGGCTTCCAGCCACGTGCTCAAACCACCTTCCCCAGAGCCTCCTTTGTTACCCTAGATGGGCCCAAGCCCCAAAGTCACATTTCTTAGTACACTAACTTGGACTTGTGACAGTGTGAATGCAAAGCACAGCTACGGGCCCTGCACATACTCACCTACCTTTACAGCTTTAGTTGTTTGTTCAGGCCTATCCCTGTCCTGCCATGCCAGACACAGCCAGCTCCCCTGATGCACAGGGCTCAGTTTCTCTTCTTACAGTCCCTAAGACAAAATGTGAGTAACCACCACTCCCCCCAAACCGTACCCGTTCCTCATTCCCTTCCTCCCCATCTCCACAACAATCTGGCTAGGGCAAGGATCCCACAAGGCTGTGTAACAGAATACTCACAGTGAACTTTGTTAGGAGTGGTCTGTTTCCGACGGGACATGTTTCCCTGGCCTGGGAGCAGCGTTCCGTCCCTCAGCAGAGGGCTCACCTGAGAAAAGAAGGGAAGAGCCTGTCACACACACCACTGGCACCATCTGAGCCTCTGGCCAAGTGCAGCGGGCTCTCCACCATTCTGCATCACCACAGCCATATTCAGTGCCAGCAACCAACCAGATCCACAAGCATTTCACAGACCACTCTGTATGGGTAGTTCCACCCAGCTCTCCAGCACAGTTGTAAGTAATCCTGTTCCCAGCACACAAAAAGCTAAGAGTTCCCCATTTCAAGAGTGAATGTGATCTCCCTCCTTGTCCATTCCCATGCTCCGAGGGGAAGAGCCTAAACAAACCTGGAGACCCCATCCTACCTCCAGCCCCCCACCCTGAGACCACGGACATGCCATGCCCCAGAGGCTTTTGTCAGGCACCGGATAATGCAGCCCAGGCTGGATTCCAGCCGGGGAACTGGCCACCCCATGGTCACAGCTCCAGACACACAGCAGCAACAGATGGGATGGTGTGGGCAGCCCAGGGACAAGGCTCGACGCAGGCAGGCACCCTTTGAAGGGACTGACCTCACGGCCCTTGCAGATGGCTACAGGCAGAAGGAAACGGCAGGGCTGCTGGCCCTCCCTGCTGCCAGGGTGTTCCCAGGCAGGCAGTGGGGACACGGTGAGGGACCCCTGATGCCACAGCTCATACGGGGTGGGGTGCACCCCTTGTCCCGGGCAGGCCGGACACACGGACCCCCTCAAACTTTACAAGGGGAAACATGGACCTCTCGTCCTCAGACTAACAGAGGAAAGAAAGAATCAATCCCAACAGTCCTCTCAGACACAGACAAGAGCAGGAGCTGAACCCATTTCTACCGACAGAGAGACAGGGATCCCGCCAGCAAGCTGGACCCAGCTGGTCCCAGCACTCGGGAGGCGGCTGAAGGCGGGATCCAGCCCGCAAGAGATCGGACGCACAGACAAAAGGACTCCGCTCCCCTGGCAGCGGGTCGGACGGAGGAACCCGGCCCGAGAT